AAAAAAATATAAAAATTAATATTAATTTTAATGTTAGATAAATATAATTGAACAGTTGATAAATTAAAAATTAATTTTTATTTTTTTGATATAAATTTATAATAAAAATATATATTTAATATATTTTAAACATGTACTCTAAAAGTACAAATTAGACAAACCTTTTAATTATTTAACTAAACATTTATTCAAAATAGTTAATAAAATAAAAATATGCAATCATCGATTGTGTGGTGTATTCACACATGCAGTTGGGTGTGATTATGACCACACTAAAAAGTGTTGGGACCACATACAAATTGTTATTTTTTTTATAAAGAATTAATTATGGTGTTTTTGAAAGTATTAGTCTACAAGTTTATTTTAATCTGTTAAATAATAAAATTAATAGTTTTTTCATTTATTAACTAATAATTACAATTTTTAGTTATTTTTAATAGTGAAATTAAATTAAGTTACATTGCTATCCTATGTGATTACAACGTGTAATTAAAAAGTAGAAAATTAAAGTGCAATACAATCTATATAAATTGTATTTCTAGACTATACACTTTTATAATTATTAATGAAGTGGTAGACTCCACAATATTAAGAATCCACATCTCCATTAATAATTAAAAATAATCAGTTTGCACGACATAAACTACACTACAAAATTGTAATTAAAGAGTAACATCATTATTGACTAGGAAATTGTTATGGATCAATTATATTGCTGAATTAGTAAAACGATCGTAAAAAAAGAGAGTAAAATTAAGGGTTGACTGTTAGGGAGTAGAGATAACATATTAAACATAAATTACATAAAGTGAAAAAGTGTGATATTTGGCATTATGATTGCTGGATACTAATCACAGTTAGTTGTCAACAAACAAGATTTTGAAGCCCCTCTTTCTCTCTTTTGGTAAAGGGATTTAAAAGCATGTGATTGTGGGGTTAGTGTGTGTGATCAAATTAGGTAATTATAGTAATTAATTAGGAGGGCAGTACTAATTAAACCAGTTGGATAGCAATTAGTTTTGACATTGTTTTAAAAAATTTTAATACTTTTTAGAGTTTTTTTTTTTCTTTACTACCCAAAAGAATCCAATTTAAGAGTCAAGATTCTAAGGAGTGTAATTGCCTAATTGGTCTTGTGTCCTGCTAAAGCTGGAATTCATCTTTGACATTTTTCTTTTTCCTTTGTATGAATTTAGTATACTAACTCGGTTTGTACTCATTAAATCTACATTATCTTTTTGGCTATAAAAAATCTGTATTACTTTTTTTTTTTTTTTCATATAATCAAAATTAATAGAGAGAATCGGGAATTCTTGAAATTTTGTCTCCTCTTCTCTCAAAAAATCAGATTATTTTTTTTTTTATAACATGAGTAAACACACTTTACTAATGGACTAAACCAATTTTCCTTTTTGTTTAGATAGTAATCAACTTATATAAATTTCAAGACTAATATATACCTGAGCAATTGTAAGGGCACATCCTAATTAACTTAATGCATTAACAAAATTAAAATTCTTAAAATATTGAATCTAATATATATATATATATATATATATATATTATTTTGGTTGCAAATGAGAGGCAACCATCTTCGATCCTTCATCCCACCTTATCCGTATGTCATGCAATTCAAATTTATGACCTCTTACTTTTAACGAAAAGAGATGACCACTAAATTATTTAAGTCGTTGATAAAATATTGTATTGTTACATGATTAAAATGGCATCACCTGGACTCAAACCGGAGACCTTTAGTGTGTTATACTGATGTGATAACCAACTACACCAGGACACTAATATTTAAATCTTGAACTTATCTTTAAAAAAACATTTATACTAATATACTTACTACCGGATTTTATTC